TTATCTTGTTTTGTAGTTATTTGTTCTAGACACCATAGATTAAGGTCACAGAGAAATTGGCTAGCTTTTTCTAAATCCTCTTCATTTAGTAGCATCTTGATCTCATTAACCAGATTGTTATCTAAGGTTATGTTCCAGTTTTTTTCCACGTCTATGTTCTTAATATTAAGGTCTAGGTTTTTGACTATTACTAGAATGCTTGTATTGAGGTTGTTTTTCTATTTCTACTTTTGGATTTTTTCCTTTTCTAGGAGCCAAATTGGTGCTGTAAAATGTATAGAGAGTTGAGCATCTTTTAATCTTATTCTAGTAAGATCTCCCACAAGGTCTGGGCTATTAATTCTAATTACCCATTCAGTGAACATGTGTTCTGTATATCGTTGCCACAAAGAGTTTATTCCCCAGATGTCATTTTGCAATGAAACAAAGTTGGGAGCAGTTGAAGTTAGCTCTGCTTTCATTTTGCTACTCTAACTATCAGCTGGTGCAGTTTGTCACATTCTTCTTTGGATAGCATTGTCATATTTAGTTTATATTCAGCTCTGGGTAATAGCACCATATTGTTTATATATTTAATATGTTCTATGGAGATTTTCTTTCTATTTAGCAAGTTGGCCATTTGTTTAATCTCTATACTGAGCTTCTTCTTAATTGCATACTTTAAGTCTGCTACAGTTAATCAGACTCCCAAATATCAGATTATTTCTCTCTTTTCTTTTGCTACAAGCTTTTCATCTCTCTCTTTGATAAGAACTGATTTTTCTTCTTTCTTATTTTTTCCATTTATCACCATGAGTTCTGTTTTTTTGGTATTTATTTTGATATTGTTTAAATGAAAGAAGAATTCTGCAATGTTGATTATATTTTGCATATTCTCGGCAACTTGAATTTCTTCTATTTTCGTCTCTCCTCGGATTATTTCTATCGGCCACTCTATTCTTGCTTTTGCGCCATAATTACATTTGTATAGCTTACAAAGTAATGGGTCAAAATAAACTCTTCAAAGTAGAGGAGAAATTACTTTTTCTTGATCTATACCACGTTCAAAACGGAACTCCTATGATAGGCCAAACTTGGTAATAACTTTAATCTCTTTGTTTGACATGTTAACCAGGAATACTTCTAGTTTTTTGGAGACCTTGATTCTTTTTAATGCAAGTTGAAGCCTTCTAAGGTCTATTATATAGAATACTTTTTTAATATATATAAATGTTATCCACATTTTCTGATATGCCTGTTTTGTGGCTTCTATCAGAGCATTTATAATATGTATCAGTTCTTGGGTATATTCTCCTTTAAACCCTACAAAGTTTGGTCTTTTTAGTATCTTATGCTAAATAATAACATCGCTAAGTCTTTGTTGGATAATTCTTATGAGTTCTTTTCTTGCTGCTTCTAGTAACATAATAGGTCTTGTGTTTCCCATTTGTAGGTTCCATTCTGGTAGTTTTGGGATTGGAAAGATCATCCCTATTTTCCATTTCTTTGACATAATACCTTCTTTCAGAATTTTGTTAAGCAAACTTAGGAAAAAATTCGTGGCTTTTTCTCCAAGTTTTTTAAGAATCATATAACCTATATTAGATAACCCTGGGGCTGATTTGTTAGAGGTTTTTTGGAGCATTTTTTTCCATTCTTCTATTGTGATTTTATCTAAAATATTGTTGTACCAGTGTTGTTGAATGAAGTTGCATGGTGTATATTCTTCTTTCCATGTCTCTATTTCTTTTTCCGGGGGACAGGCATCTACTTTGAATTGTTTCGCAAAATAACTGTCTATCTCTTTTTTAATATCATCTGGCTTATATATAAGCTCTTTCTTTCCTGTTATAGTGTCTGTTGTCATAAGTATTCTTTCTATTATGATCTTGTTACAGGGTCTTTCAAGGATACTGTTGAGCATTTTTTTATTCTCTTGTCCGATCATACCAAATCTTCTTTCGATATTTTCTCTTATTCTTTTCTCTTGCTCTATTTTTTGTTCTGAGATCATTTTTCTTTCTATCACTTTTATCCAACCTTTAAGATCTTAGATCCACTGTTCTGATCATCTTTCTCTAATCTCTTGGATTTCAGTTTCATTATTTGTGTTTATTTGTTCTAATTGAGTATTTAAAGAGCATTGGTCTTTGGGTTTAATTTCTTTGTTTATATTTTGGCACTCTAGACGGTCTATTCTTCTTAGCTGCTTAACCCATTTATATCTTGGGTTCCATATAACCTGTTTTTGTTTTTTTACTGTAGTGTTCTGAATCTTTTTGTGTGGAATTGTTTTATTTACAGCTTTATTTATTAGTTCTGCTAGCTTTTCCCATACTTCGTTTATCCATTCTTCATTTGACAAACTAGATATTATAGTTTCTCTTTTAGCCTTTCTATTACTGTATTCTTCAATGTATTTTTCTAGAAGTGATACAAAGTTTTTCCAGTTTTCTTCAGTCATTTTATTATAAAGGTATATTTTCCATTGACTAAAATCTTTTCTTTTTTGCTAGGTGATGGAGTTTATATAAATTATAGGGCTTAGTATTAATTTTGTCTATATCAGGTTGTGATCACTTCTGGTGATGAGATCCATGGTTTTGATATCACTATCTATCACAAGATCTTTTAAATTTAGATCTAACCAGATATAATCTATTTTTGAGCAGAATTTAGAGTTGGCCCAGGTTGCTTTGAAAATCTGTAGATTAATAAGTGTAAATGCTTCTTCAAAGCCTACATTTTGTAACCATCTTATAATCGGGAGTTTATATCGATTGTTCTTTTGTGTAACTTCTTCTGTGCTATTGTTTAAAGTAGTACCTGCTTCATTACCTATTTCTGTATTAAAGTCGCCTTCTATAACTATTTTCATATTTGATTTACTTTTGACGACATCTTCTGTTATATATTGTTGTATCTTTTTTTTCTTATATTTGTCATTTGGTAGGAAGTATACTACCTATATTACTAGTACTGTTCTTTTGAATCTAAAGACTGCTTTTAGAGCATAAGAGTCTTTTACTATTACTTTAGTGAGGTGAGTTTGCCATTCCTTTCTTACTAGTAATCCTACTCCTGATTCTTTTCTTTTTTCTATATTGTCTTTTGTCCAGAAGGCTCTATAATGTTGCCAATTGATATCGAGAAAAGCTGCTTCTTTTGCATTAATATTTGTTTCTGTTATTTCTATAATATCTATATTTTTTTCTATATCTAAATCTATTAGCTCTTGCAGCTTTGTTCTGTTACCTTTTATGCCATTTATATTGTGAAAACCTATTTTTACTTGCTCAAAGCATTTCTCTATTTTGTTTTTTTGATTTATATTTTTTGGTGCTAGTTCTGGGTCTAATTTAAGGGTGTTATTGGTTATCTTAAGTGGAGTTTGCCCTGACAAGCTATTTTGCTTGTCTGTTTTTATTAATTCAACTGGGGCACCCTTAGAAAAAATTTGGGGCCGGGGTCCTCTGTTTTTCTTCTACTCTTTGTAATCTATTTAAAATTTGCTCCAAGATACTATTTTGTGTTTCACAATTGACTGTAAGATTACTTCTTTGTTTTTTGTAATCTACACTATATGATCTAGCCTTTTTTGTAAAGTTTTTGTCATAAGGTATTCTATTTTCTTGCTCTTCTTAATTTCCTCTTTTTCTCCTTATTTCTATTTTATTCGAACTAGTTGCAAAATTGTTTTCTAGATTTCTGAGGGGTACTCTGTTAGTGTCTCAAGATCTATGGAAGTTGTTAGTTCTACCATTTTCCTGGTTGTCAGTGTGGGTAGCATTGGGGTTTCTAGTTTCGCTTAACTGTTTAGTGAATATGTACTTAGCCGTTTTTCTTTCTTTTGGCCTTTCTGTTTCAATTTTTGCATTTTTTCCTCTATTTGAGCTTTTAACTTTCTTCTTGTAAAGAAACATGCTATCAGAAAAATCTTTTTGGTTTATGTTTTTCAGGGCTAGGTGCTATTTAAGTTTGGTATTAAAATAATATATATTGCAGCCTTGGGCTAGAAAGGGATCCTCTTCTGATTTAAAGTATACAAGGGCACTTTTCCTTTGATTTCTATTTTGATTATATAGGATATATACTGCTTGGACTTTATATTTCTTAAGTTGTCATAAAAGAAGGCTATTGTATACTAATGTTGGTATATTTGAGATAACACCTTTGTAGTAACTTCTTAATTCTATTTCAGCAATGTCAAACTTGCCCAGAGTAGTTTAGTACGTTTTGCCATGTTTCAGGTGAATTGACAAGCTTTCTTTTAAAAATTTTTCTCTTTGTTCTGAGTTTGGTAGAATCTTGATGAATGCTGTCTTTGTTCTAAAGTTCTGTTGCTATGTGATAACAGTTGCTGTACTATATATATTCAGATATGACTTAATTCGGTATACTTTTATGTCTTTTGGTAGATCCTATATTATAAAGAGAAAATTAGATAAGGTAGAAACTTCTTGATATATAATTTTGTTTTTCGGGGCCCAAGACAAATTGTAGATATTTTCATATTATTTAGTTTTCTTGTATCTTGTTTGCTTTATAGGTTTTGTATCTGCTTGTAATTCATCTTTAATAAGTTCTTTGAGCCTATAGTCTAGTACACTACACTCTTTCTCTAATAATATATTTTTGTCGATTTCTAGATGATCTTTTGAAGTATGTGCTAACTCTTCTTGCTCTATAAGGGCTCTCTTTTGAGAGTTGTTTTGTAATTCTATTTCTATGTTGCACATTGTGTTTTCAGTTTAAATACATGGTGGTGTTGGAGTAGTTTCCATAGGGAACTGTATTGTTTGGGCTTTACTTTTATTAGACAATAGCTTATCTTTTCTTTCATGTTCTGTGTCGATACTAGTTATTTTGGAGAGTTCAGTTGGGTATGCGATTAGGTCTTCCATGAGAGAAGATTCAGATTTCATCTTAATGATGCTTTCCTGGGCAAAATTACTATTTGTGTCATCTGTTTGCATTGTATTGATGCTTATACATTCTAATAGAAGGTTTTTTTCTTCTTCTAAAGTTTGTTCTCTTGATAGCTTGTGTTAAGTATAGTCAAAGTGTTGTAAAATATTGTGTATAATTGCGATAAGATAGATTTTGCTAGTGCTTAGATATTTTGCAACTTTTCTATCTTGTTCAAATATAATTCTTTTTGCTCTTCTTAAACTGCTGCCTTTTTAGTTTCTGACTTATTGAAGAAATTTTTATAAGTAATAAAGTTCAGCATTTTACACATATTGTTTTGTTGCTTATAGATACACATGGTTGTTTGTTTTGTTGGTTGATTGTCTACTGATTCTGGCTTGTTTGTTTGTTTGCCTAAAGTAGATGTATTTGTTTGTTTTGTTTGAATGTGATCTGCAGTACAGAGTTAATGGCAAATCCCCAGAATTTCCAAAAAAATTTTAAATTTTTGTCAAAGTGTTTTATTTTCTTGGTATTGCACTTTAGAGGGCGGAGTGAGCAAAGTTGTTCTAAGAAACTCAAGTTCTTTTCTTGTGTTCTATTCTTTTGCTTAAAGCAAGTTCTATTGTTGTTTTAATAAAATTGTAACCAAGCCCTGGTTGTTTTTTAGCTCCAAATTTGGTTTTAGTGATCGACAAAGAGAGTTAATATGCTGCTTTGCATAATATCATTAATTAATTACTGATTACATTAAAATAATACTATATCTTTCGCTTAAAAGATTTTTGACAAATATCTTAATTACCGGATTTAGTAGTAATACCGATTTCGGCAATTTTTCATTATTAAATATAGTAAAAATCAAACAATAAAAAAATATATTAATATCGCCTTAATATCATTAATTAATACTGATTACATTAAAATAATTATATACCTTTC